GGTATTAAAGTCAGATCTAATCCTTAATTCGGTGTCATGCCAAACGCCCAGCTTGGAGGCGTCCGAGTGAGCCCATCCAAGTAGACAAGGTGGCCCAATTACAACGAGGGCGTTGCGAGTTAGGGTGTGGGAGAATGTTACAAGGGATACTTGTCCTACATCGAATTCGAATGGAAAGTGAAAGGGTATAAATATGTGGGTATGTAACACTACCCAATAACTTAAATTTTTGGATAAATGGACAAGCACCCACCTGTTTCAGCAATCAACCCCACCCCTTAAAAGATATAATATAATGTAGTTGATTAATGAAGGGAAGTAAATAAAAGGATAATAATAATTTTGGGGGAAAAAAAGAGGAAAGGAAACCATTTTAATAAATTTACTATAAAATAAGGACAAATTTGATATTAACAAAGTTTTATAAATTTTTTTATCCTTTTCCTGTCATTCAAATTTTGAAAAGATAACAAAAGCGGACTCATTTAGCTTTAATGTATTCCTTCAAACACAAAAAAAAAAAATCATATCCCTACAATTCATTTAATTTTTTTTTTTTTTTTTTTTTTTTGTTTTTTGGGTTGTGCCTAGGAGTCGAATAATGAGGATACCAATCTGTACAAAGTTTTGGACATGTTATATTGAAAAGAAAGGAAAGGCATTGGTCCATGGGTAGGTAAGTTGTGGTTCAGAATTTCCATACCTTTTTACATGTCACAGAGTAGTCAATGCCTAAGCTCACTACTTTACCATATGCAATTTTGGACCCAAACACTAAGGCCTAAAATAGGATAGGCAGCCTTTACAGCCCTAAATTAGGGCTGATTTTGTTCAGTCAGTTAGCATCATATGATTTTTTACACAAGATCGATGCGAATCGTAATATTTAATTCTAGTTGCAAACCGCATGGGTTGGTCTTACATCCTCCCACTATTCAACACTCAAATTTAATGATTTTTTTTACTTTGTGCAATTGTCCCATTTGAGTCAAGTAGCAAACAGCCCCAATCATTTTTGGGTGAACGAGGGTTCCCTTCCAGTGTTGTTTGGTTGCAATGGAAATGAAATAAGAAAGGAAGAAGAGTAATATTTGATTTTAGCACTAGCATTCCATTGTTAAAAAGACATTTTTATTTATTTATTATTATTTTTTTTTACCCAAAAAAAAGAAAGAAATACATATTAGAAAATACTCCGTAATTATTACCCCAAAAAAAAAATTGCTCCGTGATGCTATATAATCGACCATTTAGCCTGAGTGGTCGGCTAAAGTTGTGGCTGCCAAACCAGAACATATTTAGAATATAAATTAGAACATTTAATCTGATAACTTATTAGGGAACTAAATATGATATTCTATCAGCTGAACAAATCTCGTATGAATTATAGTCAATCTGATCCGAATCGTTCCAAGGCCTAGTTTCGGTTCTCCGCTCTAGCTCAGGTGGGGTGTTTTTTTTTTTTTTTTAATGGACAAAAAAAGAAGAACAAAATTGCTTCCTTTCTCCATTCCTCAATCTCTCTCTCTCTCTCTCTCTCTATATATATATATATATATATATATATATATATTGTGTGTGTGTGTGTGTGTAAGCATTCCTCTCAAAATTTGGAGAAAGAGACTCCTTTTTATTACCTCTTCCTCTAATCTGACCTTTGATCACTTCTTTCCTTTTAGTTATCCTTTAGCTATAAAATTAAGATTAAATTTTAAATACCACCATGTCTCTTGAATACTTAAAACTAATGGACCGAAATATTTTATATACGTGAAAAGAAAAAAAAAAAATTATATACCAAAAATGTAAAACACAAGCAACCACTACCAATTCAGTTCTTGCACTGAGAATTTTATATGATCATGATATCACATTTCCCACAAGAAGTCATGTGAAGATCAGATACTGTTATATCACAAAGTTGACAATATATATATATATATGATAAAGAAGGCAACTGAGTCTTTCATGATCAACTGACAGAGAGAGATTTGCTTTCTTCCTTGGCCCATTATCTTTATGGGTCTGTAATTCTGTTCATATTATATTTAAAACTTGAAATTCACTTTTCAAAAAAAAAAAAAAAAAAAAAAAAAAAAAAAAAAAAAAAAACTGACAGAGAGAGATGGAGCTTTGCAGCTTCGAAATCCATACTGTGGAGAATGCATTTTGTTTGCTTGTAGGTTTGGGGTTGGAAGTTTGCAACATGAGAGCATGGGTTTCCAATTGAAAATTAAAAAGATGAAACTGTAGTTTCTGATCAATTTTCTTGGATATTAGGGCTTGTGAGTTGTGGACCCGGAAACGTGGATAAAATTTGGTTCTGTGGGCCATTGGCTTTGTCATTTCCACAATAACACAATGGAGATGTGATTCCCATTCCCAGGAACAATGAGTCCAAAACAGAAATTAAAAAATCCATGCATTTCAATGAGTAATATTGAAGCTGGTTTATGATAATTTTTTCTTATTTTTCGGTAAGTCTAGTTTACGAGAATTATCTAACTACTCTTATGTTGGGTTCGGTAGCATTCTAGATATGAAAATTAATGGAAATCAGTTCAAATTTTGAATTAAAATTTGTTCAATTTTAATACTAAGCACCGATTCTGTTCGGTGCTCCCCAAAACATAACATTAATCTATATATGTTACTATCTCTGTCTCATAAAAGATGTCCTATTTGAAAAATCGTGATTCATAAATAGGATATCTATTTTGAAACAAAGGGAGTATTATTATTACTAATATTATTTCTAGTGTCATATATATATATTGTGTGTGTGTGTGTGATTTATTTGTACTTGAAAGTACTAAAGAGAGACAGAGAGAATATAATATAAGTTGAAATTTTTTAAATATGTTGCAAAATTCTAGAATACACAGGGTTTCTCGTCCAAAAAGGGTATTTTAAATGCAGTATCCACCTAATGCACATGATGCTTTATCTTGAAAGTTATCAAAGTAAATTGAGAGTTTCATAACTATGCATTTGAACGGGAATACCACGTGTAAGTACTGTGAAATATTGCATATTTTCTCAAAAATTAGGAGCAAAATATGCATGTAATTGCTAACTCGATCTTATACCATTTAATGTGCTCAAAATATTATTCAAGAATTCAATGTGTTCGATTCTCCCTCCTTATCCTTCTTCCTTTTCGTCCCCATTTTTAAAACAAAATCATGATAATTAAACTGTCTCTAGTTTCCCTCCAACTCCCTCATAGCATTAAGCATGTTGGTTTGGTGTGTATGCACTGAGTAGGCTTTGAGGATTACTCATTTGTTCGAAAAAGTTGAGGATAAATTTTCGAACTGTTTTATATTTTTCTATTTTTTGAGAATAAGAATTATAGATAAAAAAAATTTGAACTAAGCAAACTAATAGCATGTCAACCAAAAAAGTTTTTTTTGAGAAAAAAAGATTACAAATAGGTAAAGCATTTTATAAATAATATATGTTGCCTTCGGTTTAGGTCAAGCATGTACAGAGTAAAGACTATGCAAATTTAAGATCCTGATCTTCCCATATTTCTAGGTTTGTATTATTGTGACCCATATGCCCCCCAGAAAATTGGGGGTTCAAAAGTCATGGATGATCTAAAAGGGCAATTCTTATACAAAGAAATGAAGTCAGCAAGATTTTGATGGCAGTCACTCTAAGTGAATATAATTCTTGACATTGCAGCATGGACCCAGACTGCAAATTATTCAATAAATAATATTCAAAGGGGTCATAGATTTTTCATATTCAAGTTTCGGTGGAATCGGAAAAGGAGATATAGATTTTTTTTTTCTTTCTTTTTATTTTTATTTATTGTGTGCGTGTGTTTTTTTTCTTCCTTGAGTGAGATATGGAATTGAAGTTCAGATAAATATAGCAAAAATGCCAACCATGACGTGGATGGAAAAAACAGTATATTTTCAACTGGTAATATGCAGCTATCATTTCATTTTAAAAAAGAAGGATTATGGTACTAATGAAATCAAACTGAAACGTGTTCTACATGGAAAAACAGTACATTTTTCTACATGGAAAAACTTTACATTTTACATTAGTGTGAATATTATATATATGATGTTAAATAAAGTAAGTTAGGTTTTCCTTGTTTGGGCTACCAATTATACACGTATATGCCTTCACTGAAGTTTGAACACCCCATCTTGCTATTGCCCATTGCCCATTTGGTAGGTCTAGGACACTTTACCAATGGAGGATTAGAGCCTTCTTGTGCTTCTTTTATTGATCATATGGTTAAAATTGATGCCATGCCGTGAATTAATGATTTTGGAGGCTACTCCCTCATGGCCTTACCATTAATCTCCCTTCTATAATATGCGTGTTTATATATATATATATATATATATATATATATATATATATATATATATATAATATAGTGCTGTACAAAATGAGTGCTTGGCTTTTTATACCAAATAGAAGAAAGGTGGATCGTTTTAAATACTATATAGAAAATGGAAGAAGATAAAATTAAGGATTTGAAAAAAGAAAAAAAGAAAAACTTAAATACTACTTGTGTTATTTTCTTAATTTTAACACAATATATATTGTGTGTGACCAATGTATACATCTTTGAGGAGATTATACAACACATTTTAATATAATTAATCCAGGATAATATTTATTTTTAATTAGTTATATATGCTGATAAATATATTCTATGACAATATTTTTTATTTTAATTTGTAACTTACAATTGTTGCTAATAATATATTTTACTGATATTCTGAACATAAGGATTTCATCTGCAGTAAGACAACAAAACAAGAGATTTATATGTGTGTGTGTGAGAGAGAGAGAGAGATTGTCTCCATATATAAGTTAATAATTGTATAGTTGTATGTTTTCCTTCTGATATAATAATTCAAATACTATTTACTTTACAGTTTGCATTATCTTTTGTGGGACGAACAATCCACGTTTCTCATATAAACCACACAAAACACTATCCAAATAAGCTGATCAAGAAGTCTCCATAGCCAACATTAAAATTTTATTTCGAAGGCAATATTATGATCACATGTATTTAATTAATACAGACAATTAAGTAATTAACTAGTTCTGAGCTGACAGTCTCTCTGAACTTATGCTTGTTGCAACTATGGGACTTCTCACTACATGTTCACCATCACTCTCAACCCAACTTAGAGAACCATGAACCACCGAGTGCTTCAATTTTCTTGGACCTTCTATGCTCAGCTTGTAGCTTTGCTTCTCATACTTGTTTGTGAACACCAATTTCTCCGGGAAGACGCTGGCTTTCAATCCCTCCATCGGAGTCAATTTTGCAGTATAAGTTGACGTTCCATCTCCAACATTAGTGAGACTCCTCTGAAATTCTTGTACCTCATTAACATCCGAATTCGAGTCATTTGCATTGAAGAAGGCAATGAAAGATGGGTAGTTAATGTCCAACGATGGATTCGAGCAAGTGTAGGAAGATGACCTAGTGATGGTCTGTATTTGCTTCAAGGTGTAATTCAATGCACAAAGAAGATTAACATAATCTTCTGTTTTCATGTCGTATACGAGCCCGGGGTCTAAGGCCTTGTTTGGATTGATTTGGCCAGCTCCCATGGATAGAGGAGTGGAAGGTTTGTAACCATCAAATGAAATGTCTTGGATGGGATTGAGAGTGTTGTCCAATGAATCGGATGTTGTCATCATGGCGGACCGAATGGTGGCTGGGCTCCATTCGGGGTGGGCCCCCTTCAAGAGAGCCGCCACACCGGCAGTGTGAGGGGTAGACATGGATGTCCCAGACAAGAGGTTGAAACTGCTGAAAAGCTTCCCCCTATCAATGTCGGCCACCGGAACATTTTGAGGCCATGAAGCCAAGACTAGTGAACCAGGAGCCATGATGTCAGGCTTCAAGACAAATGGGCAACTTGGGGATGGCCCTCTTGAGCTATAGCTAGCCACTATTGGTGCTGGTTTAGTCCCCAAAATAGTCCCTTGAAATTGAATGCTTGCTTTTGGGTCTTGACTAGTCTTGATGTAGTCCAACATTGTGTCACCACTTTGGACATTCAAAAACACTGCAGGGAATGGGCTTTGAATGAAGAATATTAAGTCAGTGATGTTTGATATGAAGACACCTCCAGCAACCTTTGCATTTTGAACATTATAAAGTTGGTCAGTGAAGGAGTCATTCTTGTCTTGGCACACTACAATTTTGTACCCAATGTTCTTCAATTCTTTCTCATCTTCGCATTTCTCCACAAAAACAATTGGGTATACTTGATTTGTAGTTGAATTTCCCGGAAAGAGAGATGCGCCGGTGATTGAAGCTCCGTTGCCAAGAGAGACCGTGGCACTGAATTCGCGGTCCATTGTACCGGCAGCAACAGTTAGGACCCAAGGTGTGCCATTGTGGAGGGACTCGAGATAAGGCCCTTCATTTCCAGCTGATGTAGAGACAAATATACCCTTCTCCAAGGCTGCAAATGTGGCTATAGCTATGGGATCTTCATACAAAGCAAGACCATCTATGCCCAATGACAACGACAGCACATCAACACCATCTGTAATGGCTTGATCAATCGCAGCAAGAACGTCCGACAAAGAACTGCCTTCATCCCAGAGGGCCTTGTACATGGCCACACGAGCCCGGGGAGCCATGCCTCTGGCAGTCCCGGCGGCATAGCCGAAGTAGGACGCGCCCTCCACGTATCCCCCAGCAGCTGTGGTTGAAGTATGAGTCCCGTGGCCATCCGTGTCACGGGTTGAATTCATCGATATGGTGATACTGGAATTTCTGGCAAGAAGGCCTTTGTTGAAAAACCGAGCTCCGATGAGCTTCTTGTTGCACATTGAGGAGTTAAACTGTGTGCCACTCTCACACCCTCCTTTCCATTTAGATGGAATTTCGAGCATCCCATCATCATTGAAGCTCTTGCTCTCCGGCCAAACACCGGTGTCCACCAACCCAATTATCACATCTTTGCCATAGTCCGAATCCGGCCATGCCCCCGAGTTGGGGCTGAGGCCAAGAAATTGGGATGAATGCGTGGTGTCAACTTTAACCGGCATGTCTCTGATCGACGAAGCGTAGCCCGGAGAGTTTTTGATGGCTTCAAGCTCAGAAGGAGAGAGTTTTGCACTAAATCCATGTATGACATTATCATAAGCATAGATTAAATTAGAGGCTGTGGTAATGCTTTGTTTGGTGTTATCAGTTATAGAGGCAAGAGTGGACAAGTACCAATTATGGTGGCTAGAGAAGGCTTTGGGCATAGCAGATAAGTCCATATGGACAATGTAAGAGTCAGACTGAGCCAAAGTGGATGTGAATTGTGAGACTATGGTTGAGAGAAGGCACACATAGAAGAGAGTATGAGAAGCCATGGATGAGCAGTGAAATGGGATATGTTTTTTTGAACTTGTTGGGGGTGTGCTTATATAGAGCAACGTAGGTATGGGAAGCCAAAGCCAATATTCCCTTATAATGTACAAGTTTCATATATTCTCCAACTTGTGCATCTAATTGGGGACCCCTCCTCTCTATGATTTAAGCCCGTGTTGTTGACTACTTTGGCTCCTAACAAATCAAGCTTGGCTAATACGCCCATTGTCTGCATTAGCTGTACAAAGGTTACGATTGATTCAAGTTCCTCCAGCACGTTACACAATTGGTAAACTTGATCGGGACCTTCATTTGTTGGGACTATTTGACTAGTGAAAAAAATGAATAATGATTTAGGGTTTGATATTTATATGTCATGATAAGAGTCCCTATTCATATAAAATTAATTAGATTTATCCGAGAACTCTCTGTACAAATTAATCAACCACTTGCACATCCAATTTGGTATATAGATTGCTAAATAGGGAAATGGAACACCTTGTCCTCCGTGGTCCATGACTGCGGCTCTTATATTTAGATCAGGGATTATTCAAACTATACGTTTCACTTATGTACACACCATAATATGTGCATTATTGGTGTATGTTAAGCCTACACTAGATGTAGACGCTACAATAATTAATATATGGTTCATTTGAATATATTGTAGAAAATATTAATAAAGGGTGTAGATTTCTTGCTTTCCACACATCTCGTCATCTATATAAATTTCTATGTATCTTTACATATTTTATACATCTATGGCTCTCAATATATGGTTCATTTGAATATATTAATACAAATATAGTTTCTCTCTCAATATTTAACATGGTATCAGATCATTTCGATCTCTGATAAACAATCAATCAGTTTATCGTAGTCATCGCCGGGAATAACACCATTAGCCCAATCTTCGGTGGTAGCGATAAACCTTCAAACTTATACTTCCGCATCTCAACCTTTAGTCTCAAGTTCATAATCAGCAAAAACCTTATTTGGTGGCCCAATCAGCCTCCAAGACACATCAACAGCAGTGCCAGCAGTAGTGCATCACCTGCCACGACAGTTGCTATGTTAGACACAGTCAGCAGCGGTATCAGCAGTAGTGCCATGTCAGACACAATAAGCAACGGTGCCAGCAGTAGTGCCACGTCACTTGCCACGTCGGCTGTTAATCGTTTCTCCATCTTCATCATCGGTGAAAACCCATCTTCACAATATCATTTCCGTCATGCCGCTTTCAAGATCTCATTTCCAAACTCAAGATGGTTTCATTCAATTCACCTTGGTTTTGAGGAGGCTTTTAGAATATATTGTAGAATATATTATTACTATATTGTAGAATATATTCTATTTACGTATAGGTTTACCATATAGGGTTTAGGTTTCTTACTTTTCACACATCTTGTCACCTATATAAACGCCTATGTATCTTCATATCTCATACACATCAATACAATACAGAGTTATATTATCTCATTTATATCTAATATATGGGAAGGAAGGATGGGAATTGGAGGGAAGATTGAAAACAATAAATAAATTTTCTTCCTTTGATAGAGATAAAATAAGGAGGGAAGAGATAAGAGAAAAGAGAATAGAGAATAGATCCTCCCAAAGATGAACGGAAAAGAAGAAGGAAGAAGAGTAAAATTACTATGAAAGTAACAAAGTAATGTGTTACCTTCTTCAATTCTCTTCCATCAACTAAAAAAAGAGAGAAGGAAGTACATTATCCTTTCACTATTATGATGTCTCATTCATTGATCCATTCTTCTCTCAGTTCTATCCAAAAAAATATTCCTATCAAGCTTAAGTATAAATATTATTTTTTCCCACTAAAATTTAATATTCTTTTAAAAAAATTTAACTAAGAAAATATGTTCACATCACTATCGCATGATAGGTTCTATATTGTGAAATTCTATTAACCGTTGCTAATGGGTTGTTGCAAATAAAGGAAAAGCCCAAGTTTTACAGTCGTTTTCATGTTATTCGCAACCTAAAATAACAGTCAATCTACTGTAACTATATACATTCTTTTTGGACTCTTTTATCGTTTTAATACAAATATGACAATGCACAAAAATGAAATATCTCTTTGTTATCGTGTGACACGGGAGGAAAATATTAGAAAGAGACATGGGTCACATGACCCCTACATTGTAAATGATTTGCCAATTTAGGTTCGCTATTCGTGGAGCAAATTTGGTGAATGTGTCCAAGACAAATAAACTTTGATTGGGGTAATTGGAACCCACCATGTGCTACCAAACGTACCAGCAATGGCATCCACTCTAAAAAGTATTACCGTCTTCCAGTGGCAAAGTCACTTACAAGTTGTCAAACTAGAAAATGAGTGGATACTTGGGCGAAAATATAAAATATTCTAGATATTTACAATTTATACTTGTTAATAGGGCTGTAACTTGGCGGGTGGGGCGAGATATAATTTAAATCCAATCCAGCATCTTAAATGTTAAACTTAAATCTAACTTTAACTTTATCATCAACCTTAACTATTCAATTCAAACCCAACTCATCCTTCTACTTTTAAATTCGGACTTGCAACTCAGGCTTTAGATTCCAAACAGTAAAAACTTCTGATTAATTCAAGTTAATCATATGGCTAATCTTTACACCGAAAATTTAATATGATCATGAATTAATTTTAGATTAAATAACTCTTAAAAAAGAAAAAGTTTAAAGATTTTTTGTAAATTTTTGATAAATTACAAACAAATTTTAAAAAAATTAATTCTCCTAAATGTTAACATACAATAAGTTAAAATTTAACAAAATAAGTTGAAAGAAAAAAAAATAATCATAGTTTAAATATTATATATAATGTATTTAAAAGTAAATATATATATGAAAATAATATTAGAATTCAGCTTCTGGTTAGCTCGGGTTCGCAGTACTTCAACCCAAGTCCAATCCTAATTAAATCTGGATTGAGATTTTTCAATCCAAGCCCAACTCTAATTGTAAAAATAATTATCCATCCCCGTAAAAATTCAAACTTGGCTCAGATTGAGTTTAAGTTACCCAACTCAAATTGCTCCCTTACTCGCTAACTCTCAATTTGAATGGTTATAAAAACTTTCAATTTATTTAAATACATGAGAAATGAAATTTTTTTAAAGAAAAACATGACTGTTCATTCGTTGGGAGTATCACATACTAAATATTCTCGGATATTTTTAACATAATTTTTTATAGTTATAAAAGTGCCCTGACTAAAATTTTAAAATACTCATAAAAGACCTCAAGAAAAACTTGCAAAAGTAAAAAATGATTCCTCTTTTTTAACTCATTTGCCCAACAAGTTTTTCAAAATTTGGAAAAATCCTATTTTATAAGAATCAAAATTTAGAAAACACTCCTCATTTGCTATTGATTTTATATTATTTGTATTTTTTATATGCAAATCTTGATAATTAAAAAATCGCACTGATTGAGCTCCTACAAAACTCACAAAAAAACCCTAAAAAAAACATCTAAAATTCACAAAGACCTCATTTGCCCAATAATTGTTTCAAAAATAAAAAAAAAAACCCACGTTTTTTCTCCTCTCATAGGCTTCGCAAAATTCTAAGAATCAAAATTAAAAAAAAAAAAAAAAAAACCTATGTTGCTATTTATTATTTGAGTTCAAAATTTCTTATCAAATTATTGTTAATGGTTGCCCCTGCCGAACTAAATTCCTAACTCCACCACTGCTGAGATAGTGTATATTTTCTTGTGCAATACAACATCGTGTTATATAATTACGCGTGTACCGCATTACATTACGAGTGATTAAGATAATTGAATTTTTCCATACTGCCAAAATACCATAAGCCACCATTCCACGGTCCCTGATTGCCACCATTAGTGACTGCTATTATATGATCATCACCAAGGCTTCTTATTAATGGAATTGCTAATAAGAACACCCATTAACTCTACCTTACCCAAAAAAAGTAAAAAAAAATAAAAGCACTAAGTTTGCAAAACAATAATGCAGCCATATCACTTATTTGGTGAAAGAAAACTAGAAAAAAATGGATAGCATTGTTTGGCCATGGGGTCACTTCAATCCTTATCTAAATTGAAGTCAAAGAAGAAAGTGGTTTCTTTAATATTAATGGACTTGATAATAAGAACACTCAAACAATTAAAAGATTTATATTTATGTTTCAAACAAGAAATTATTGAGACAAATGAGATCATCATATTATATTGGGTTAAGTGCAAAAATTCCCCTGTACTATTGATATAGTGCAAGACAGTTCCTGTGTGATATAAAACTCCCATATATTATCAATTTGGTGCAATTACCCCCCTATCACATAAAAAGACATTAATACCCTCTCTAATATAAATTTCTGGGTTAAGTGCAAAAAAACTCCTGATATGTAGAGTTTGTGCAGAAATAGTCCTTACTTTTTGAAAATGTGCATTTCAGTCTATAAAATTAAAAAAAAAGTACAAATAAGCCCCTCTAAGCACTTTTTAGTCAAAATTAAAATAAAATAAATTTTATGAAAAGACATGACATTTTTTTCTCATTTGAAAACACACACACACACACACACACACACACACACAATTTTCTCTTAAAAGAATCCATATTAGACCAGGTCGATGAGTGTCTATATGGAAAAAGTAGTTTCACTACCCTCGAGTTGAAGAAAGTATGACCTACAACACCCTTTTGGGTTCCCTGAAAATGTAAAGTGAGCAAATGCATGCAATTTTGAAATTACAGTGATTGTAATTTCCAAAAATAAAGAACAATGATCATCCTTGAAATTTAGCATAATTATTGTATAAACCAAATGCATTATTTGTTGGAAAATTATCAGTTAGTTTAACTTTACAGTGGGTAAAAAGGAAAAAGAAAAAAATCCACTTTACTGTAATAATTAAGAGGAATAAAGTTCTATTTTTTAATATATCTTTAATTTAGTTCAGAATTCATTAGTAATTAATTTTTTACAGTTTTGTAATTACTGATTAAATATCTTAAATATATTTATTTTAAAGTTAATGATCTTAATTGGATAATATTGAATTTTGTAACTATTAGTATA